GTGTTACTTTGTATGATTTGAAATGTTCTTTTAGAACCCGCTGTCAGATTTAATATTGGTGTAGAATTAAAAATTTATCCACTTCCCTATAATTAGTCATCTTTCAACAGATTACAGAAAATATACATTTTCCGAGGCATCCAAACTATCTATTGCTTTTTAAAATATAATTTCAGTAATACTAAATGCAGTGGGGGCAATATAGATTGAAAAAAAAAAGCAACAGCTTTCTTTCAGTGCGAGCTAAAACTGATTTGAACGTAAAGTAAATTATGAGCTATTGGCTAACCCTAACGTGAAGCTACAAATAAAACGCAACGAAAATCTATTTATTATACATGCGTGTTTATTGCATGGCTGGACAATTACATTTTATTATAGTTATATTTTATTGTTTATTTTTATGTTTCATTCCTCGAGGCCTGCTGCTCTTAGCCGCTACTTAGCTTAGCTCCAGGGTTTCTGCAAGCCGTAGCAGTTAGCTGCTGGCACTAGCCTGCTGAATCCTACGAGCTTTAAGCAACTTCACTTAATCACTATGCAGCCAGAATTCATAGTGGGAGTTTCTAAGTCATTTATAAACATATATTCACAAGTTTAGTAACACTTTTATTTACCGTTTAATTGGAGTCTTAAGGTTAATTCCGCGCCGTCGGATCACTTCATCCAAAGAGACGTCTGCCATTTTCTCACAAACTTTTCCAACTGCGCATGCGCCCTTGTCAAGCGCTACTATGGATTCCGATTTAGGCCAAAAAGGGTAAAAGCGCCTGTAGGATATTATATGTTTTGTGCTTTAATTTAAGTGTTTTAAGCTTGAACGCAACTTATATACATGTATAAATATATTTCTCTTTAAGCACACAGTAAAGACACCCGCAATAATAACAGAGAAAGCTGTGAACGTTAATATTTGAGAAAACGAGAAATACCCATAAGCCTTTGCGTCAAAATTTTCAGAAATGCAATGGGTTTTGTCAACATTTGCGGTTAGAGTATTTGTAAACATTATATATATATATAATATTATTAGTATTATTTGTATTTTGTAAGTTATTGTTGTAAATAGTAAACTTTTRCACTGCACCGTAACAGAAGATGGCTTGGAGTTGTTTCTTTACCAGTCGATGAGCATGGCCAGGTCATGCCTTAAACTGATGAGTAAGGAAAATAACGATGCGGGGTGACGCCCGTGTCCTCGTTMAATTTRCGAGAGTAATTTTTGACGGGGCACAGGTCTGCTTGCTGAGGTGACTCGCTTACTTCGCGAGATGCCTCGTGAGTCCAGGACCTTCCCCAACCTCACATAATGTTGTAATATAAAAATATATACAGTGTGTAATACGCAAATGTCTCCCAAATTGATTGTGTGCTCAGGTGTCCGCGTACAGAGAGCTCTTCAAACTGAAACTCAGACRATTCCAAATGATCTTTCATGGGTCAATTTTGATTTTGACCGAAGAGAGCAATCAACGCTGCATAATAACCCGCCTTACTATTTGTACTATGACATCGCCTCGTTCATCTTAATTAAAAAAAACTCAATCTCCCATAATGCATTTGGGCAGAGTTGGGTTGGGTTTATCATCATAAGACGCGTCTCCTCCGCGTCTTCCTCCTTGCTGTCTGACGCACAGGAGAAATGGCTGCAGCTCTGTCCCGTGCCCTCAAACTGCCCGGTAAGATGCGCTGCTGTCACTCTTTTATTTTCACAGACAAACAAACGGAGAAAAGCTGCAATGTTTTTAAAACTGTAGCTAGCTTTCGATGTTCCTGTATTTCACATTAGCTCGGTTATTAGCAACCGAATCATTTCATTCAGTGGTTTGTTGTGATATTTTATCAAATATGTCAGCGTTTTTTCCCCCCCCAGACTAACTGGATTTTAAGGTGCAGAGATGAGATGAATACCAGAGAGTTTAACAGGATGCTAACGCGTGCTAATGCTTATCCAACAGAACTGCAGGGTTAAAACGCAAACAGAGAAGATACCGCAATTCAGCTATTTTGGTTGCAGCTTCTCGTTGAGGTTTTTCTTAAAAAGTGTACTGGTTACTAATTTTTAAAAAAAGAATGGTCACACATTGTTTTGGCACTTCAGTAGAAAATGAAACCAAATATTAGTTTATTTAGTTTATTTATTTCTTCATAATCAGTGACTTTTTTAAGTGAAGAGAAAATAGAGACAGAGAGAAACAGAGAGAGAAGTAATTAGAAAGATGGAAAGATTGAAATAGCGATTAGAAGTATATTAAATATACACCAACAAAACACAGGACCACACACCCAACATCTGTCCGCTCACCTGAAAAATAAATGGATAAATACATGGAGGGCATATATAAATATACCATACATATATGCAGATATACATACATACATGCCTACATTCATAAATATTGTCAGTATATACACACAGACACGTTATACACACTCAGTGAC